GGGGGGGGACATGGGCCCAAATGAGCTTTGATACAGCTTAAAAACTTACAGAGATTAGATGCTCATATGACCCCTACAACAAGACGAAAACTCTTTCCAACACCCCTTAAACCAAGAAGGTTAGGGAAAAAATACTGCAGAGGCTAGATTCATATATCTGGGAAAATCTGAATGCTGCCAAATATAAAGTAATGCAAAATATGAAGTGATAGAGTGAGTGGAAAATTCAAGAACTGAGTTGTGATCATTCCTTCACTGAGCCGTTCCCTAATGAGGTGTTTACACTGTGAAGAAAGGTGACCTCCGTGCCCTCTCCCTCATCCCGGGTACTTCCCGCAGGGAGATGCAGCTGTTGCACACCCGAGGTGCACATCCATCCCATGGGAGAGAAGCTGGCGCTGGCAAAGGCTTCACAGCAACAACTGAGCAGTGCCCGGCACCAGTGAAACTGGGAAAGGAGGACACAAAAACCCAACAGTTACAGAAGACAAAGCCCTGAACCTGAAACGGCAGCAGAGTCTAGAACGCAGACTATAATTACTCACAGGAAACTGGGCCAGCACCACAGCAGGACACCCTTGATTTGTCTCCAAGTCCCCAACAGGCACAAGGAGCAGAGGGCTGAGGACCGCGGGAGCACCCGGGACCCTGCCACCCCCGGGACCCGCCTCCAGCCCCCCCCGAGCGCCAGCGGTGCCTGCGGCTGCCGTCCGTCCAGCTGGGGCCCACGGTGCTGCGGGCACACGGCAGAGAAAAATCAGATTCACAGTTTGCTGGTTTCTGTGATAAATATGATATAACTTTGTCCTGTCACGCTCAGGACGTTGCTGTATTTCTGAACCCCATGGCTGGCCTTCGAGCCCGCTGCAGGTGAAGGCACGGGGACAGTGGGAACAGCCGGCACCAGCAAAAGCTCCAGCCCAGCCCCTGCCTGCTGGGGCCAAACACACGTCCTTGTCAGAGCCCACCTGGCACAGCCCTCAGCAGCAGGAATGGCATCACTCCGTTTAACACGTAAGATCAGACAGGAATATTTGGAGACGGAGAGAATGGCTCTAAATTCACCAAGTGCAAATCAGAACCTTCAGTAATCTGTCACAAAGCAAATGTAGGGTTGCTTTTTTAACCCAGTATTGAAACTAGTCATTAATTAAGGTCCTGGGTTTGGTTACCTGTTCAGACACAGGCTTTGTACTTGTACAGGTCCTGCTTCTCAGTGGTTGGGGAAGGATTACCAAGAGGCCAACGTGGCACTTGCACACAGCACTTCAACAGAAGGAGAATTAAGTTGGAGTATCATCCCTCTCCACTCTCTCTGGGCACATGAAAACTGCGAGGCTCATGAAATCAAGATCTGCTTTGAACCTTCTGAATCAGGTTCTCCAAGGGAGGGGTGGCAGGTATGAGGGATGAGGGCTGGAAAGCCAAGCAAGTGCTGTCAGCCAAATTACATGGTGGTAAATGCAAGCACTTGGTATCAGCACATCAAATTACAAATATCAGATGAGACATCTAGAGACATCCCATGACAAACATAATAGATGGGAAAAAAGAAATAAAAAAAAGCAGACTCGGCCTTCTCTCATGCCCAAATGATTTAATCTCTTCTTCTGCATCACATGCAGGCAGACCCAACCACAAAGGTCAGACCAGGCCGGGAGACTCTCCCCGAGGAGGGACCCTTCCAACACCACATACAGATACAAGCACAGGGCAAATGCACTCGAGCAAAACTGCACCTATAGACAGGTCTTAAGAAAAATGGGGTTAGACCATGACAAACTCATCAGCTTCCAGGTGTGCAAGGACTTCTGCAATGCAACTTCCATGTCTTTACACATCTGGAAATTTTTCACACTTCCAAGTGTAGTTATAAAGAGGGAAAACTTCAAGTTAGTTACAAAAATTAAAAAAAAAAACCAAAAAATTCCACTTCTAAACATGGAAGTGGAATCCTGAATGTTCATTATAAAAAGCCAGCTGAGGAACCTGCTTCCATCACTCTGTCACTCCCAGTAATTTTAAGACTAAAATTTCAAATAGAGAATTTCTTTTAAACGTGTTAA